ATGTCTCTACCCTCCCCTATCACTTTTAGAATTTATTCATTTATTTCTGAGAGTTTAATTTTTTTTTTCCTACTGTACAGATAGGGATTGGGTGGGAGTAATTTTAAAAGCTGTAAATTAGTAACCTTAAACTGAACAAGAGCTAAAGAACTCAGGAATTTTTTTCTCTCTCTAGCATTAGTGTCACTGGAGAGATAACGTGATGAGATGCTTTATGGCAGTGAGATAGCATTGTGACCCGTAATTCCATTGATTCACCTTGGAACAATTTACCTACCAGAAACTGCCTTAGCTGACATTTTCTTACGCTGCATCAAGAACCTGAAATACTGCAGGGACCTTTTAACTGAGCTCTTTCCTTTAGAGTCACCTCTACTCCCTAAATCATTTTCCACTGTGCAATGAGAGTGAGAAGTTCCAAAAGTAAATCATGTCGTTCCATTGTTTAAAACTCACCAATGGTTTCGTACCGAAGGACAATTAAGTTCAATTCCTTTGTAAGGCTTTCATGGCCCGTGCTGAAGAAGCCCTAATCCCTTCTCTAGCCTCAAATCCTATTACTCCCACCAGTTCCCTGAGCATCTTGTGCCATCCTTTGCCTCCAGGTCATGATACATGCAGATCCTTTTCCTGGCACTCCCTAAGTCCCCCCAATGTGTTGACTGCCTTACTGCACATGTTTGGTGTACAGTGAAAATGGAACAGGAACATGTTTGGGGAAAGTGCTACACTAGACTAAGCAGATTGGGAAAAGGATAAAGTTTGTTTTCTTCTGTGCTAATTTCTACATATGCCTCTTTTTCATTTGAGTCCCTGCTATTCTCGGGCACGTTAAACTATCTCTTGCTTTTCCTGGTCTTAGCAAAGTAGTCTCTAAAAAGTAAATTATTAATTGTAGCACTTGAGGTGAATTCACTCAGTTAATAAATATGGCATGTTTATTATATACCAAGCTTTGTTCTGGGTAGAAGGAAATTACCAATGAGCAAAAACAGGAGAGGTGTCAGCTTTTAGCAAGTGCATATTCTGGCTGAGAACACAGAAAAGGAGCAATTAAATGATCAAATAAGATCATTTCAGACAGAAAACATTAGTAGGAAGAAGACAAAATAGGACCATGCAATAGAGTGATGGCAGGGAAGGAGGTGCCTGGTTTAGATCCAGTGGTTCAAATGGTTTATTTGAAGCTAAGCCTCCATGACTGGAAGTAGCCCTGACCATATGAAGAAAAGAGAAAAACATGCCAGGGAGAGGGAGAGGACAGCAGGTGCAAAGGCCGTAAGGTGGAAATTAAATTGTTGTGTTCAAGGAGTAGGAAGAAAGGCCAGAGAAGCTGGAGCTGAGCCTGTGGAAGGCGTGGTAGGAGACAAGGTCTGAGGAGTCTTGCAGCAATGGGCCATGCAGGGCCTTGCGGGCCTGGTGAGGGGCTTCTCTCACGTTCCCAGTGCAAGTGGAAGCCAACAGAAGGTTTTAAGTGTAGAAATGATGCAGTCTCTGTTAGAATTGCGCAAGTAGGCTCTGACCTCCGTGCAGAGAATACACTGAAGAGCAGCAGTGGACACAGGGGCATGAGCTAGGGACTTCACGTTGTCTGCCATTAATGACGTCAGTTTGGAGAAGCACTCCTGTATAGAGCATTGAAGTAAGTTACTGTCTTGTCATATTTTTAAGATTTATCTTTATTGGAACATAGAGGTGATTTCTGCACTTCAAGTGATTTCAGAATTTGTGTAGGAGGTATTTTGAGAAGGAAAGAAGTTGAATCAGTATACAGTAGGTGTCATTGGTAGGTAACTGTGGAGATGACGATGTTGGAAAGGAGGATGTGCAGGCGAAATAAGGTCTAATCATAAAGAAAATGTAGTGGGGACCAGCAGCCAAACTGGCTTCCCTGAAATCACTCCCACAGGATTCTAGAAATGTTGGACTTGGACTCAAAAGATCTGAGTTGGAACTTTGGGTTCATTACTTTGACTAACAGGTTTACCTTCTTCGAATCTCTAGCTTTGCTCATCTATTAAACAAAAGAGCTCCACCGTGTAAGATCTTTACCAGTTATAAAAATAAATCCATCCATAGCTCTATTAGTTACAATGGTATTATTCCTGATATTCAGATATCTTCAGAGAAACTTTATAAATTATATTTTCGTAGAATAATAGAGCTAAAATATTATTTAAATATGTATTCATATACTTACATGTGCTCATTTTATAGATGAGAAAACCAAAACCTAGAAGGGTAAATGACCCAGCTGTGGGTTTCTTACCTAATTAGTGTGAGCTGTATGCTATAACTCAGGCTATGACTCCTGATTATTCTCTCCATCAATTCCACTGGTCATTTTACAGCCCCAAGGAATTTCTGCCCAGAGGATAATTACAATGTTTGTTATATTTGGGTATATTCATTTTTTTTCTACTACATAGAAGCATCTATGAATTGGTTAGTTTGAGAAACAAATGAACTCTTCTTCTACTCTTTTCAAAATAGTAGAATTTTCCCATACAAATAATGTATTGAAGTGTATTTCTCAGGACTATAATGAGTAAGATGATCAGGCCCCACGGCAGATATAAGATATAGACCTTTCAATGGAGCTTTGGATCCCAAAACATTTAACTATCTTATTTATTTTGCTCTGGTGAATACAGTAGAGCAGAATATGAGCAAGAAATTTATTCTCTTTGTTATATTGATTTAAATATAATGTGAAAAGATGGGATGATAACTTATCTTGTATAAACCGTTTTTTGTAGAAATGGAAATTAGACAACTTCAAAAGGGTGTTAGCAAGCTAGCCAAACTCAATGAAGATCTGTTATTTAAAAATCTAAAATTCCCCTTCTTTAAAATTTTGACTTTTGTCCAGACACATTATCAGCACCCTCTTTTATCCACTATAATCTCCAAATGAGGCCTTAGGGATGCAAAAATCTTTATGCTGCTGCTAAAGATCCCTGAGAAATCCTTTTGATTACAGAAATGAGTAAAGACAGAGCTGCACATTCTTAGCTAAATAAATAATGCCTTTAAAATAATTTCTCTTTCAAATAATCAGAAGCACAAGTCAACATCAAAGATGGGATTTCAAAGGCATAGAAACAAGGGCAGAGCTGAAAATTATACCAAGCTTAAAACAAAAATAAATGAGCCTAATTGAAAAGCTATTTGTGTCTACTGAAAGAGTAGAAACTGTATTCCACAATCTCACAGTTCTGGGACAAGATCCCCTCCTCCTTCCTCCAAGCTCGCCTACCTTTCTCCTTGCAGCTCATCGGAGCACCTCCCAGGATTTAATCAAGAGACAGCCTTGGAAATCTACAACCAAAGTCCCAGTTTTATTTTTATAAGGAAATAAATGGGAAAATTAAAAAAAAAATGCTATGGACATAGGAGATACAATAAGGAAAAAAAAAAACCCTCAAATCAAATTCTTATTAGGACATATATTGTTCATTTTTAGAGTGGGTCAGATTGAGTTAAATAGGATGATTGTATTCATGTAGCATGTAGCAGGCAAATGGGTATATGGAGTGTCTATGAAATTTCTCTCTTGCAATTCTTGATGATCATACTAACAGCATTTTTACTCTCTGTAAACTTCTTAGACTTCTTGTGTTTCCAACATGCCCTCAAGTACTAGGATTGCTTTGGTTCATGTTAAAATACAGATATAAACAAGTGCCTCAGATATCGCTGCCTGGACTAAACAAGTACACAGTAATTGTGACACATGTCTACCAGAGTATATAATGCCTCACAGTTCCATGGAAACACCCGACATTACCGCACTATTGGTTTTGTAGCTTTTTCACACTACACACTCTAGAAATATCTATTCCTTGTACTGACTTTTCTCTTTTATATCCTTGTGAGATTAACATCTTGCCCAATCAGGCTAACACACAGTCTACATGAGGCATCAGTATTCCTTTGTGCCTGCTTCTCACCCAGTACCTGAAGCATGTTTTTGGTGCTATGCTCCATCTTGCACCCGCTATTGGGTTCAATAATCCAACAACCATTGCCATTGAAGTACATGACAATTGTGGCAATAAGAAAATTTTCTAATTGATTATTGGACTGGTGGAGGCTGTCAGGGATTTTTGTTTTTGAGTGTTGAGGCACGTTGGATGAGAATCACTGTTTTGAATCTGTTTTAAAAAGAAGTGATTGCTTCTCTTACCAATTTCCTACTCTTAAGATCTTGACTACTCTGCTTTGTGTCAACCTCTGAAATTGAGATGACTTTTGGCAACTCTATCTGAAAATCTTACAAGTCTCATTTAGGGGATTTGTGCACTGTCATCTGTAGGAAAAGATCAACCTATGCCTGAGGCAGGTGTTAGAGGGAATACTGTATTGAGTGAACAGGTGCTCACATCATATTTAGGAAAAATTTCAACACCATTCAATTAATTGTAAGAAACAGCATTTTTGTACTGCTCTACAATATGCAATTATAGCCCCAAAATATAGAGAACGAGTAAGGATATTCATGTTTGTGTGTGTTTGTATGAATGTTTATGTAGGTGTATGTGTTAACCCTAGAAAAGTTAGCATATATTTGTAGAATAATTATTTTAATTTTTGAAATGTTGTTAGTTCATGCCATGCTTCATTTTTGGCTGAAACTCAATCATAAAACTTGATCCTGCATTAATGAGTTATAATAGATTGCTATAGAAGGAAACAGTGGGAATGAGGGTATGGTTGAGATCAAAATATTTATCTACATCTTTCTATGCATGTGGCAATTCTTGTGTAGCTTCATAACACTCTTTGCATCTTTTTAAATCCTGATCATCATGCATGGTATCCCATGTAGCTCTAAATGTTCAATATAAAATGCTAACTTGCCTCTCCACCCACATCAGTTTCACAATCACTAGCACCTATTTCTTCCCTCCTTGAGCTTCTTCACTTAGAATAAGAATCTGTTCCATGGCATGTGCATCCTTCTGGTAAATTAAGTCTCCCCTTTTTCTGTTTTCAAGGATGGGAGGAACGGTTTTATTGGACACCAACTGGGCGGGGTAGTGGAAGTACCAAACAGCAAGGATCAGCGGGTCAAGTCAGCCAGAGCCATTCAAATCACCTACTACCTCCAGACCTATGGCTCTGCCACCCAAGACCTCATAGGGGAGAAGTGGGAGAATGAGTTCTGTAAGCTTATGAGGAAGCTCCAGGAGGAGCACCAAGACCTCCAGCTCTACTCTTTAGCATCCTTTAGCCTCTGGAGAGACTTTCACAAGACCAGCATCATGGCCAGAAGCAAAGTCCTGGTGAGCCTCGTGCTGATCCTGACCACAGCCACCCTCTCCAGCTCCATGAAGGACTGCTTGCGCAGTAAGCCCTTCCTGGGCCTCCTGGGGGTGCTCACGGTGTGCATCTCCATCATCACGGCAGCAGGGATCTTCTTCATCACCGATGGAAAGTACAACTCCACCCTGCTGGGAATCCCGTTCTTCGCCATGGGTAACTATCCATCCTTGTGGTAATCGGATTCTTACCGGTTTGGGGCAAGGTAGTATATTTCTTGAATTCTCAGGTGGAAATCTGTTTGAATTTTGCATTGGTGTATCCATGTGATTATGTAAAATTTTACCTAGGGTTGTGTCTGTTTTCATGTTATTGGACCTTTTGGGAAGTTATGGGATGACCAAAACGTCTTCCCATTTAATTTAATGCTATCAAGTGTTTTTAAATACCACAACATTGGGATTCTCTACTCAGATTTCTCAAACATTGTAGGTCAGGGGTTATGAGAGGATTATGAGAGACAGAACTAAGAAGAACCAAGACCTACTTCAGACAAAACCTTATGGTTTATGTTTATGGGCATCCTCAAGTTGATGGTAGTGACGAGTGAGTATTATGAGATGAAAATTCTGACAACTAATGATATAGCCTAATCTCAAAGAACTTCTTAAGTAAACTTTATTAATTAACTTATTTCAGAGTTTTTGCACAGAATATATTCCATTCTTCCACCTCTGTATAAACTAAAACCTTCCTACTTCCAATTGGATGTATTCTCTAATTTTTTTCATCTCTGGCAAAAATAATTAATGAATATCTTCAGTCAAAATTATCCCTTCTTGTAAGTTTTCTCCCAGTTATACATAAATGTTCTAGAAAATGGTGTGTGTATATGTGTGTGTGTGTGTGTATGTTCTTGCAAAGAAGATCAAGTCTGGGAATAAAAATGAGTGAGGGCACAGCAACAAGACTAATGTGTCTTATCAGAGAAGACATGATAATGGTGATATCTGTGGAACTGCCAAAGGGTTCTACACGTCAGGTGTGATATAATTCCCCGTGTGTAGCGATTTAGAGTCAGCTTTAAATAGCCTCCAGGTGGTGAGCTGATATGAGCAAAAGAGGCTTCAGCTATAAAATAATTGCTTTTCCCTCCCCAGGTTAAAAATCAGCTCTAAATTACAGCTTTATAATTAAATAAAAAAGATGTAGGCATGAGATCAGGAAGTCTTCTATGTGACCCAGCCCTGCTGTATCTCCCTGCTTTTTTTTTCAACTTAGCAAACATTTTCGAGAACATCACAAAGGGAATTATATTGTAGGTGCTGGGGTCAAACTTCTTTATCTGGAAACCCAACTTCATTGTGGCCATATTAAGTCAGTTCATCTCCTTAAGCTTCAGTTTCCTCTTGTATAAAATGGGACGTGCGATGGCATAATTTTCAAAGAATTTCTTTTTTAAAAAATATAACTTTAAATAATAATATAAGATTTATAAGAACCATACAGCATGATTCACAAATGAAGCATGATTCATTCAAGGTTGACAAATTAAACATCTTAGGGCTTGCTAGGGCTTTTTCTAAAATGGCTGGTGAACTAATTAGATAATGGAAAGATTTCTCGGGAAAAGGCAGAATTACATATTCCATACAAATAAAAACTATCACTACTGATGCTGGATTGTAATATAGGCTTTTACAAAACCAGAGTAGTGTTTTCATTCCTTAAACAAATAACAGGAACACTAGGAGCTACAGTGAGGAAAAAATCCTGACCCTTCTACATATACTTTATACCTCTTCCAGTGACCTTTGAAATCATACATAAACCCCAGATGGTGTGGGTGTGGACTTTAGAAAGACTAGTTAATGGTTATTCTTCAAGATTCCTGCAATTAAAGTCCTTAAAATATTCTGAAAGAAATGTTTCTGTTATGTTCTGAAAACATAGCAATGAAAGACCTATAAACATATACTTATTTAAGGCCGGGCTCGGTGGCCCATGCCTGTAATCCTAGCACTCTGGGAGGCTGGTGGATCGTTTAAGGTCAGGAGTTCGAAACCAGCCTGAGCAAGAGCGAGACTCTGTCTCTACTAAAAATAGAAAGAAAGTAATTGGGCAACTGAAAATATATAGAAAAAATTAGCCGGGCATGGTGACGCATGCCTGTAGTCCCAGCTACTTGGGAGGCTGAGGCAGTAAGATTGCTTGAGCCTTACTCAAGCAATTTGAGGTTGCTGTGAGCTAGGCTAATGCCACAGCACTCTAGCCTGGGCAACAGAGGGAGACTCTGTCTCAAAAAAAAAAAAAAAAAAAAAAAAAAATATATATACTACTATATATATTATATATATAATATATACTTAGTTTTGCTCCGTCAAGGGGAAATTTCTTTTATTGTGTTTTGTTTTGCTTATAAACTGATTGTAGTAGTAAAGAAGACAAGTCTGAGAACTGTCGAAATAAAAGGAACATTCCATAGGATTAGAAAACCTGGATTTTCATCCCAGTTTTCCTCCTAACTTTGTGTGCTATATTGGGCAGTTATGTATGGTCCCTTTGTCCCAGTCCTTTGTATGTAAAATGAAGGGTTTGGAATTTTTAGCCCTAAATTTTGAAGATTCTACAATATTATTTGTTTCTTTATTTTATTGAAGTTAGAATTTAATCATTCCTTTATAAAAACATGTAAGCTATGTATCATCCTCAAACCTCTGATATGTAGTTGTCTTTGTTGCCTTCTAATGTGTGTGGGGGGAGACAAAGACTTTAGAATAGAAAAATTCCAGCCTTGCATACACACAAAGTTGTGAGACATAGAGAGCACATTGCTGTGGAGGTGGTAGGGTGCAATGTGATGTTAAACATAAATAAACTGAGTTTGGTGCATATGTATGTACTGGTGGTTCACACAACACTGTATCATACCAGTCCTTTGGTTAATTAAAGTTTACATGGTGTGAAAATTGTTTAACCCAAGTTTAGTTGGGTATAAGGGAAAGAAGCCAAACTCTTTTTAGAAACTTCTATTTCTATCTCTGTCATTCTGCGATGATTTCTTGAGTTAGTGAATATTTACTCCATTATGCACTAAGATTTAAAGCATTCACTGTCACCAAAACTCATCCGTGAGGCTGGGTTTGTCATTGATGGTGTTTGTTATTCAAACTGAACCAGCTTAGCTATTTTAGCTGACCGTCTTCCTTGTGTACTGCATCTGCTTATTCTTTTTCTCTGGTCAATCATCCACTTAATATTCCCAATGCCATTTCAGAGGCACACATACTAAACCAAAATATCTTGCATTTTTTTCAAGCCAGTGCCAATTTTTATACTTTGTCCTGGTGTTCCCATAAGTAAATTTATATTTGTCAAATTATATGTCCCAGATCTAGGTTTAGAAAAGAAGGCAATTGTAGGTATATGCAGTCTCTCTAGCAAAGTATTCAGAGAGAAATCCAGAATTAGAATAAATTTTTAAAAATATCTAAAATGACCTCATTTAGTTCCAGCCTAACATCCTTTCTCTATCTAAGCACAAACCAATGAGAATGCCACTAATTTAATTTATTACTCATTGTCAGCCTTTTTTGCACCTCATTTGCTTTATGCGGATGTGTTTCCTCTTTCTGGAAGGAGAAATATGGGCTAATATCACACACAGAAGCCAAACTGGCTCATGCTGTCCTTTGCTGATATTCTGTGGATAGTTGCCAAGGACATAAGTAGCCCTGGTTCACTATTATTTTTTCTGTCCATTCTGAGGTTGTGTTATGTGCTGAGGATCTCTCTTTCATCAGCTTGACACCACTGGACACACACCACTGACTGACTGGGTTTTTGCAGGTGATCCCAAGGTTTTCAGAAACAGATGTTCATTCGTCATCCCAAACTGAGCTCCATTCATCTATTAATTTATTCAAATATTTATGGAGCCTCTACTATGTTCAAAAGAATTTTGGGTTCTAGAATAAAAGACATTGAACAGAACTGCTCAAGTTTTTATCCTCATGAACCTTATGAGCCTTAGGCCTGTGGAGGGGAGAAATAGTACAACATAAATAAAGAAATATGAACTTTGTTATATTGTTGATAAGTGATATAAAGGCTAAAAATAAAGCAAGCAAGATAAGGTATTAGGAGCATAGGTCAAATAAAAGCCTTTCTAAAGAATAACATTGAAGCAGAGAAGCCAAATGAAGTGAAAGTGGAAGTCGTGTAGTCAACTGAGCAGAGTGACTCCGGCAAAGAGAACTCTGTGTGCAAAGGCTTTGAGATGGGACCTTGCTTGCTGAAGTTAAGGAAGAGCAAGAAAGTGAGTGTGGCTGGAGCAGAGGGGGCAACGGTCTGAGTGTTAGGAGATGGGGCCAGATCATGTAGGGCATGCAGAATTAATAATTCAGATTTTTATTCTGGGTGAGATTGAAAGATATTTGAAGTGTTTTGAGATAGGAGGGTGTGGTCTGAAATTATCTTTGGCTACATTACATAAATTAGTCTGCAGTAAGGCAAGAATGATTATAAGGAAACTAAAAGGATATTGCAAAATGTGCTTGGGATATACATAGTGGCATGAGATAGCATGGGAACAGGGATGGTGATAAAAAGGAATTAGACTCAGGATATCTATTTGAAAATAGACTGGATAGGATTTACTAAAGGATCAAATACAGCATATAAAAGAAAAAGGAGTCAAGGAGGACCCAAAGTTTTGAGGACCAAATAATTTATAGAATGCAGTTTTCATTTACTATAGTATGGAGGAGGAATAAGTCTTAGGTGGAAAAAATCAAAAGTTGAGTTTTGCATCTGCTAAATTATAGACACCTAGTAGGTGTCCAAGTGGAGAAACATGGAGTTAGTGATATAAGACAGCACAGATAGCATAGACAGTATAGATCAGGTTCAGAGATAAAATTTATAAGTTTGAATTGGAGATACAAATTTGAGATCCACCATGGCATAGCTAATATTGAAAGTTTTGGAATCTGATAAGATCAACCAGAAAGATAAATATAGAAAGATAATAGAAGACATCTGAGATTTGAGCCTTGGGGCATTCCAATGCTTAGAGATTGTGAAGATGAGGATGATTTAGAAAATGATACTAAGAAGGATCAGACAGTGAGATGGCATGAGAACCAAGACAGAATAGTGTTCCAATAGCAAAGTAAAGAAAGTATTTCATGAAAGAGCAAAAGATCAATTGTTCC